CTGCGCCCGGGGGACTCCGCGGCAGCGCCTCTTAAACCGTTAAGATAACGAGGTGGGTCCAGAAAACGAACCGACGGCCAACGTAGCGTTTTGGGAAGCCAATTCCACGTTTTTTTCGGCCGAAATTCCCCTTAAAATCGATTTGAGGAGCAGAGCACTCGGCCCTCAAATCGACGGGGAGAAGGGGGACGGCGCGGTCCGGCCCCATCGCCCGGCAAAAATCAGATTTAAATGGGTAGAAAAAAAATACCTGAGTCTGCAGGAGGCTCGTTTAAAGACGTGTTGTTACGGCTTTGATCCTATTGTGCTCGTTGTTTTCATCCCGCTGGAGAATATTGGTGAAAAACGGGATAACAGCGACCGCCGGGGGCTTTGGGAGCCGGCGGCTTCTGTGCGAACGAACTCCTCATGCAGGAGAAAATAAAAATATCTCTTTTTAGGATAGAGCAGCCCCACAATCCGTTAAGCCCACAGAAACGCAGGGAAGAGGGAAAAGTTTTTCAGGGAAAACGATCTCCCTCCAGCTGACGAGCACCTCTCTGTTACAGAAAAAAAAATCCCTCTTTTCCCGAAAAATTAAAAAAAAAAAAAGGCTTTTGGAAATAGAGAATTTGAAAAAAAATGATTATTCGTAGCACCAAAGGGAGAAATGAACGGAAAATCTGCATGCTGGAGCGCTCCAATTTGGGTTTCAGGTGGCCAGTTTAATTCCAGTTTATTTTAGGAACTCTTCAGAATATTGGGGGGTGTCGAATAATTTCTGTCTCTGCAGGGAAATATTGGAAAAACTAAAAATGAATCCCAGAAAAGAGCCACGCAGTCCAAGTGTAGAGATATAAAGACCTAAAAAAAACCCTGGGAAAATTAAGATGATTACTGGGTTGTGAAGAGAAGGACTTTAATAATTATTATTTAGAGATTTTATGCCCAAAGCACCTTTTGAACCCGTTCTGCAGGACCGAGGAGAGGAGCTGATGTTGGGAACGGGAGAACAGCAACTGCCTGATGCTAAAATCTTAGAGTTTGGGGGGATTTTTTTGCTGGTCTTGATGTAATCAGTGTTTCTTCTTCAGAGGTAAAATCTCAGACTGATGTAAATTTAACAAAATCTCCAGCTGCACTAATAATAAAACTGTGTTTCTGGGGAAAAAAAAAGCTGAAAAATAGAAATCCCAAAGCAGAAGGTAAACGAAAAGAAAGCGTGAACAAGAGACTGAAGAATTAGCCACAAATTGGGGAGTTTTAAGCCTGGTAGAAGGAATCTGCTCTTGGAGCTGCTCTGTCCTCCCCGCCGAGATCCCAGTTCCCAAACTGGGGCTGGAAGTCGTGGGCTGTTTTTAAGGGTTTGATAAAGCAGCAGCCGTGGCTGGGTTGTAGAGGTGATTCTGTGTCCCTGGACACATCCAGGCAGTGGATAGCTTGGAATTAAATATAAATAGAGAAAAACACATGGCAAAACCCCATCCACGTTCCCGTCCTTCCTTTCCCAGTGACTTTGGTAAGAAATTAAAATAATAAAGGGAGGAAAAACCCTCTGGAATAATGCAGTGGAGATGTACAGCTCTGAAACGGAGTGAGAGGAAACCAGCATCTGTTTAGCACAGGGCTGGTGGCTCCAGAGCACCCAGAGCAGCCACCACCTCGTAGCTGTTGCTCTCGGGGTTGCTCCGGATGTTCTACACGTGGGAGTCGAGCCCGTGGAGCTTTTCTTCCAAATTATGAAAGTGTTCCTTGATTCCTTTCAGAAAGGAGAAGGTTAAACTGACACACGTGCGTTTAAAGCTCCTGGAGACACCTCTCGTGTTCAAGGGTATGTTTCAAATTGCGTGGGAAGCCCGGCGAAATGAGTCAATTCCTGTGAGCAGGAAGGGGTGAAAAAGTTTCTCCATCGGGCTGAATACATTTTTTTGTTCTTAGATACAAGGGGGAAAAAAAATCTGCCTGTAGTTTGCACGAAAAATAGGGAAGCAACACCAGCAGTGGTGCACGGAGAGCAGGGGAAGGTTGTCGGTCGTAGAGCGAGGCACAGACCCGGCGGGTACCTGTGTGTGTGTGGAGCTGAACTTCATCATCACCCTGATCCAATTAATGGGATTGGACACGTGTGAATGTTGTTCTTAAGTGCCAAATAACGACAACAAATCTTTCATGGACAAATCTTCCCCTTTTACAGGAGCTGGGTTCGGAGCGGGTCTGTGCCTGGCAGGACACCGGCCGCAGGGAGGAGCGGAGGGGGGGGG